GATTTGTCCCCACTAACCATTAGAGAATCAAATAAATGCTCTGAAAGCTAAGACTGGCCAGACAGAAGGCCAGAAGATTCACAGCAGTGCCCCACATTACCAAAGTTATCTTTATATACATTGTTTTGACAACATTAACAATTGGGAAGGTCTGGGGACAAACAGACACATTTGAAGTGGATACATTTAGGATAAATTGCTTAAAAAAAAAAAAAAAAAAAAAAAAAAAAAAAAAAAAAAAAAAGGGGGCTTTTGGAAAACTCAGCTTCCACAAGGGGATTCCTATGAAACTCTATGCACAAGGCTCTGGGAAGGAGAGAATTGTGTTGATCACTGTCAGTGCGCCTGCTGATCCACCACACTCCGCCTGTCATGCCGGAGTTAGCAGAACTTCAGCAGCCGAGAAAAGTCTTTCCACCATCTGCAAAGTGCTCTAGAATTTTCTGTTGTATTCATCCTTTTTTACCACTTTCTAAAGTTTCCAGAGCCATGCTCTTGTCCAGTAGGAGCTTGCCACACAAGAAATAATGGCTTATCACATCTATAGATTGCCCCAGGAGTTCACCGACTGCAGAAACCTTTTGCTAAAGTATGACTTTGTTACAGTAACAGAGATAAACCAGCACCCACCTCCCTTCTGGCAATGGTGATACACCAGCAACCCTCCTGTCAGTACCCTTCTAGCAATCGAGATACACCAGTGCCCCTCCTCCCAGCAGTTGTGGATTCATCAGCACCCTTAGGGCTCGTTCACACTTGACTGTTTTACCAACGCTTGCCAAACACCCCTATAGCGTTTGGCAAGTGTTGGTCCAGCGTTTGACGCTCTGCAAATGCCGCATGCGCGGTTTAGCGGCAATTGCTAGGCATTTGCCGAGCGTTAAAAAAACGCCCCACAAACGCCTAGAATGAAGTTTAAATGGTGTTACCGCTCCGCAACCGCAAACGCCAGCCGGGCGTTTGCGGAGCGGCACCATAGACTAGAATAGGAGGCTTCAACGCCTCCTGACTCGACCAGAGGCATCTGTTTTGCTACGACGTGATGCTAACGCTCCCGTTAGAACAGCACCATGTGCTGAAATGTGCAGAATTGTCCGGGGCGTTTGGGAAGCGGTAAAAACGCTTCTCAAACGCCTCTCTGCCGCCTGCACACAACGCTAGTGTGAACGTAGCCTTACTCTCAGCAATGGGGATACGCCAACTCCCCTCCTCCCAGCAATGGTAATACACATGCACTCCTATCCAGTAATGGTGATACACCAGCTCCCCTCCTTCCACCAGTGGTAATACAAATGCACCCCTCCTTCCAGCAACGAGGATACACCAGCACCCCTCCTTCCAGCAACGAGGATACACCAGCACCCCTCCTTCCAGCAACGAGGATACACCAGCACCCCTCCTTCCAGCAACGAGGATACACCAGCACCCCTCCTTCCAGCAACGAGGATACACCAGCACCCCTCCTTCCAGCAACGAGGATACACCAGTATCCATCCTTCCAGCAATGAGGATACACCAGTATCCATCCTTTCAGCAATGGTAATACACCTCCTTCCAGGATCCCTTCTTCCTGCAATGATGATAAACTAGCACCCCTCCTAGCAATTGTGATACAGCAGCACCCCTTCATTCAAAAATAGCAATACACTTGCACTCTTCCGTCCAGCAGTGGTGATACATTAGCACCCCCCATTTTCAGCAGTTGTGATACACTAGCAACCCACCATACAAAAATGGTAATAAACCAACACCACTAATTCCAGGAATGATGATACACCAGCACCCCTCCTTACTACAACCATGATACACCAGCACCCCTCCTTACTACAACCATGACACACCAGCACCCCTCCTTACTACAACCATGACACACCAGCACCCCTCCTTACTACAACCATGACACACCAGCACCCCTCCTTACTACAACCATGACACACCAGCACCCCTCCTTACTACAACCATGACACACCAGCACCCCTCCTTACTACAACCATGATACACCAGCACCCCTCCTTACTACAACCATGATACACTAGCATCTCTCCTTACTGCTTCTATGCCCTGCTTTTGCCCTGACCAATGTCTGCCCCTCGACAGTGGTTTGGTGATTCTACCACTTTTAGAATTTGTAAAGAAAAAGTGCAAAGCCACGGCAACCAATCACAAGCTGAAATGTAATTGACTGCCATGGCTTGCTGCATTTTGCACATAATTCATTACTTTATTGGGTTCTGTTGGCCATCAGCTAACCCATAATTTCCATGGAGAGTTCATGTTGATATGACATTTGTCCCTGGAAGTTCATTCTGGTCTTGGACATCAGCCAACTTCACAATAACAGGTCTTTCATGAATAAGGATGACAAAGTGATTGAAGCTAAACTTAAGTTTGCTGTAAAATTTCAGGGAACTTTATCTAGGACTTTAATGCATTTTGGTTTAATGTTGGTTAACAGAAAATAAATTTCACTGACCTTAAGACAAAATACCCTGGAGTCAATTAGAGGCAAATTTTGCCAAAATTTCAGCAAAGGCAATATTGGTAACTTTGCGGCAGACTCAATTTCACAGAAATCACGTCGCTTATCCTTATTACATTCTTGCTATGTTTAGCACCTTTCTAGAGTTTTTACACATTTTTTGTTAATAAAGCATTTTATAATCTAATTTAGTTTGCCGCAACAGAATCACAGTTTTCTGCTGTCCTCTGACACACAAATGAGTGAAGCAGAGGAAAGTCCCTGGAAATTATTATTTTTTTATCTGTTGGCCGCTATACAAAAACACATTACAGCAAGTGGTACCTACCAATATCAGAGTTGCAGAAAGCATCCTGGGGATGGCTCGGGGCGCATGTGCAGCTCTCCGCCGAGTCGAAGAAGTCGCCGATAACCAGCACAAGTGTCAGCAGAGAGATGTTAGCTAGGACAGACATGGTGCTGTGTGCACAATTCCTTCCTTTCAGATGCAAGTCTGAGCTGAGCTGCTGTAGGGCCTCCTAGACTCACTGCTAGACCTAGTACCACTGAATGAGCAGCTTGAACAGTACAGGTTTATAACAGCTCTTTTTTTTTTTTTTGTGGTGGAGTGTGACCGCCTCTCTGTCCAGCCCTGGGGAGTGAATCCAATGACCTCATCCTCCTAGAGGGGGTGTGCCTGCGCTGGCTGCATGTTTCCATGTAGGGGAGAGAGAGAGAATGTGCTTTGGAAAGGGGACTCTTTAGCTGTATGATTATAAAAACAGGCTCTCAAGTTCAAAACAACAGCTCTTTCTGCCCCTCGGAGCCCCTGTGTTGTCACGATGGCACCCGATGCTCTTTTAGCGCCTTGTCTGACGATGAAAAAAAAAAAAGCCATTGAAATGTTGTGGAAGCATTTAAAGGGGCTCTGACACAAAGCAAAACACCTGTGTGATTAGGCTCTGAGGAAAGCAAAACCTATGGCGCGCTGTAATTGTGACGCTAAGCTGGCATATGCCATTCAAGCCAACCCAGAGCAAAAAAAAAAAAAATTGGTTATTTTAATAACAATCTAAACCCAATCAATGAAATATCAGAAAAGGTTTAAAGGATTAATGTATTTTTTAATTTGTTTTTTTAAATTTGCCACTTTTTATAAAATAATACTTCATTTTATAAGGTGACAACTGTCTGCCAGTTGTGCTCCTGCGTTGTCACATGCCCCCCTGGTGGGGACTACAAGCAGCCGTGTCAACACACTTTGCTCAGGCACAATCACTGATGTGACTATTATCACTGACCTAATATCCAAGTACCGCCCAGCACGCACACTCCGCTCTTCACAAGACCTCCTTCTCTCTAGTTCCCTGGTCTCCTCCTCCCATGCCCGCCTCCAGGACTTCTCCAGGGTGTCACCCATCCTCTGGAACTCCCTGCCCCAACCCATCAGATTATCACCTACTCTCCTCTCCTTTAGGCGTACCCTGAAAACCCATCTCTTCAGGGAAGCCTACCCCACCCCCTGCTAACTTGCCAACCTCCTCCACTCTTCCTACCACTCCATCCCCCACAGCTATCTCCTCCTGTGCCACCATCCCCTTCCTCCTAGATTGTAAGCTCGAAAGAGCAGGGCCCTCGATCCCCTCATGTTTTGCATTGTATTGGTATTGTTCTGTCACATGTTCTGTCCCCCTTTGTAATGTACAGCGCTGAGTGAACTATTGGCGCTTTATAAATACTGTAAAATAAATAATAATAATAATATTTAGGCTCCATGCACACGGAACGTTTCTGGTAACATTAGCTGTGTAAAGTCACGTTAAAAATTTGAGTTTTTCATCTTTTTTTTAGTGTTTTTGCATTAGTGTTTAGCAGTGTTTTGCTGCGTTTAGCAGCGTTTTTCAGCATTTGCGTTTAGAGGGTTTTTTTTAGCAAAAAAAACGTTTTTGGTCAAAAAAACTTCCAAAAACTCTAGTTTGCGGTGCTTTACTGTGTTTTGTTGCGTTTTTTGGCGTTCGATCATTTTTACAGCTAAAAAACTCCACTAGAAACCCACTAGTCCTTTTTTTTCCCAGCCAAAAAATGTTGATTACAGTCTATGTATGCATGGCACATAGGATAACATGCTGGGGGGTTTACTGGATGTAGAAAAAAACAGCAAAAGCCAAAAACAGCCGCTGTAAAAACATCAGGTGTGCATGAGGACTTAGGAAACCATTACAGAGCAATAATGTGCAGCTGATGCTGGAGTAAGTGCAGGTAGATAGGAAGTGGCTGAAAGAGCAAGCAGGAGAACAGCAATGAGATTCAAAAAAAAAAAAAGAGTTCAAAAGGGGTGAAAACAGCATTTAAAGTGTTCCAAAACCCAGGACCCTGCATTCACTATATCTGGTCTTCCACAGTACACAGAACATGGAAATGCAATTATTTTAGCAAATATAAACTGCTAAATACCTTTTATCATCAGTAGCTAGAGCAGTCTTGTGATTTCTATCAGTGTCCAGCTGAGCACATGTTAAAGCTTGTAGGGGGAGTTTTCATTCTACTCTAGGAGGATGCAGGACCCCTGACTTCTGTCTGGACAGCGCTGATTGGCCCTGAGCTGATCACATGCACTCTCCCAAGAAAAAAAAACACCTCTCCAGCAATACACACCAAACTGATCATGTGCAGAGTGACTCCACATATGTCTAAGGCCCCATGTACACAGGACACTTCTGAACAATGGAAACTGACTGCTGGAAAATGTAGGTTAAAAAAAGTCTGTTTAGCCAAGTTTGCATAACGCTTTTATGCTCGTTTGCATTTAGAAGCACTTTTTAAAGATAAGCACAGGAGAACCTCCCAAATGCCCAGAATGCACTGAAGAGTGGTAAATTATTAACTATTTCAGACTGTTTCAGAGAAATACAGAGAGTAGAAGCAGACACAGCAGTATGTGTTGAGATTAGCTTACGTGCGAGATGCTCATTAACATTTCTTTTGTTTCCAAGGGTGGGAAGGTGTCTGGTGGAGTGAGTCATTAAGGCTACCTGGCAGGGGGTCTTCAGGAGGAATTTGAGGTGTGAATGGTCATTAACATATCTTTTGTTTCCAAGGGTGGGAGAGGTCTCAAGGAGTGAATTGTTCTTTACAATGTGTGACAAGCTTGGCAGGAACATCCTGTGTTCAGTGTTTTGTCCATTTGAGTACCTTGAAAACACTTTGCATGCATTTTTCATGATGAAAAAAGGTTCTGAACAGCATCGGGAACATAGTTTTTAAAAAAATTCAAACGCAAACACTTCTAAACGCGATTTTTCGCATTAAACTGTGTTTACAAGCATTTTGCTTTTGAAACGCTGATAAAATCGACGGCTGAACGCAAGTTTTTTATGTTAAAAAAACTACTGTAAACTCGAATGCCTGTAAATGACTGTAAACAAAGATGTGTACATGGACACATAGGAAAACATTAGGGTTAGTTCAGGGGCTGCTGAAAAAAACACTGAACAGCTCCTAAACGTGAGTTTATCAGCTGCATTGTACATGAGCCCTTATCAGGAGATAAGAGGGGGGCACTGGAAGGGGAGGATCAGAGAAGTCAAGATCAAACACCTTTTTTACACAACGCAGAGGATTAACCTCTTAGGTTCCACAGTGAGTATAACAAGCATGCTTTACTGCATATACAGACTGATTTTACTGTTGTGGGTTTAGTAACACTTTAATGAAAAACAAGGCAATCGTTGAATAAGCAGTGCTTTAGCAAACCAAATGTCACCCAGATAGGGTTTAGATCTACTTTAATAAGGAATATTTCCTGAAAGAATAATTCTGCAGCACTGCGGTGTCAGGTCACACGACCAATGCCCTGGCATTGGTAGCAAGGAATTGTAGACACAGAGGACCTACAGGGACTGATGCCTTGAGGATGTTCAGCCAAGGTGCTGACTTACTTGATATGTTTGCACATCATTTCTCCAGAATCTTCTACCACAAACGTTTAAAATGCGAACAGGACCTAAGAGTAAGGTTGGGGTCACATCCAACATGGAATTGTCATACAGATCAACCCGTCCTATTCATATACAGTATCTGCAGTGCAGTAATAAACAGAAACTGCAGTGTGCCCTTTTTTTAGGGGAAGGCAATAAAATGAATGTGTGTGTAAACCCTAACTATTAACTTCTGTTTGCTCCCTTTTGATCTGTTAGACGGGGCGGACTGACCATTTGGAAACTCGGGCACTGCCTGAGGGCCTGGGGTCAGTAGGGGGCCCCATGAGATACCCCTGGTACCTTTTTCATAGGCTTTTTTGAGTTTGGGCAAGGACACAGTTGCCCCATGATCCACTATTGCCCAGGGGCCCCATGAGTTGTCAGTTCGCCCCTGCTGTTAGGTATACCATTAAAAGTGTTTTGTTTTACCTGTTCTATATGAGCAAAAAATACTTGTTGATCCTGCCAGAAATCCTGCAAGCTAATAAACTTCCTGTGCTCTCTGCCTGTGCTGACTGTTAAGTTACATTTATTCCAACTGTCTCTGTGGACTACAGAACTTGTCCCGCCAATTTTTGGTGATGAGGAGGGGAGGGGGGTTCTGTAGTCCTATCCCAACACTGATCCTCCATAGGTACAGCATGGTGAGTGAATGCTAGGGAGTTTATTTACTGAAGCTGGAGAGTGCAGAATCAGGTTCATTTTTGCATAGAAACTATGCAACCTCAGCTTGTTCAATTAATTTTCGACAATAAAACCTGGAAAGGTGATTGGTTTCTGTACAGAAATGAGGCTGATATTGAATTCAGCTTTAGTAAATAAACCTCTTTGTTGCTGGCAGGATCACCAGGGGAAATTAATGAGAAAAAAGCCAGAAAAAAGAAAACAAATGCAGCCACCACATCTGGTAAGCTGCTATAGAATTAATTTTTTATTGGATTCACTCTAATCTTAATAGAATCAAAGGAGAAAGAAAGTTGTCCATTTAACAGTGGTCTATTCTAGTATACCATGAGATCAGCGACTCTTTATTTTTTCCGGGAATAGCAGTAAACACACCACATTACGCGTTGCAACACAAAAACTCTTTTTTCACAGTAGAATGCGTTGTGGGAAAGGCAGATTTCATGTGCATTTTTCCACACCACTTGCGAACTCACTGCCCTAGCAAGACGCATGTGGGCGCCATTAATTGTTAATGGCACCCCGAACTCATCTCGCAATGGCAGCATGTTTGCAGCCAGCAAACTGCATGGTACCACAGTACCATGCGTTTTGGTGTGGCACGATTTGCAAAAGTAGTGCCTGAACTACTTTTTTTGCATTTGGCAGCCCATTGAAATGAATGGGCTGTCAAAATCAGAATTCACAGGAATGTGAAAATCACGCACGTGTTCTTGTATGAACCGGCCCTTATCCAGAAGATGCATAACTTACATAGGAAAAGACCTCAAAACACAGGCTGACAGGTGTCAAAACCGCACATCAACACATGAGAACACATGCTGTAATGCTTTTTAAAGCAAGAAACTGCCTGCATTTTCACATCTTTTCTCCACATGTGGTGAATCCATTTTTCATGAATTAAATTTGCATGGAAATATCAGATGTAGTCCTAACACACATATTTCCCCAGGGTGATGACTCCTTTATAAAGTACAGCGAACATTAAGACAAGAAGCGTGTAACTGATCGCCAGGGGAAAATAAATGATAAAAATAGCCTGAAAAAAAAGAATATTATATTTTCTCACCCGGTGGACCCTCTAAATGAAAGAATATCAGGAATCCAGTTAACACAGCATGAGCTCTGTACATCTATATCTAGCTCCCTTGTGCATTATGCTATTATATTATTATGTAGAAGTGGAAAACCCAGATACTCCTGCACTTAGGGATGGACTCAATGTCATTAGGACCACATAACGAAATTCTTGGGATATGAATGCCTTGCTGCCCTCAAAGAACCGGGGGAGTCCAAATATACTGAACAGAGAGAAACAAACAGAGGGCGCACCGGCCTAGTGCATTACCTTAAAGCAGGGGGCGGACTGACAACTCATGGGGCCCCTGGGCAATAGGGGATCATGGGGCCCCTGTGTCCTTGCCCAAACTCAAAAAAAGCCTATGAAAAAGGTACCAGGGGCATCTCATGGGGCCCCCTACTGACCCTGGGCCCTCGGGCAGTGCCCAAGTTTCCAAATGGTCAGTCCGCCCCTGCATTAAAGTGGAGTTCTGCTCACCCTGTCAAAAAATAAGTCAGCAGCTACAAAAACTATAGCTGATGACTTTTAAAAAACAGCCACTTACCTGTCCCGCGATCCCGCGGTGTGTCCCCCGCAGCCAATTTTACCGGCCGTCCTGTATTCCTGGAGACTGGCATCTTCAGTGTGGGCACCCGGCTGTGATAGCTTGTGGCTTCACAGCCGGGTACCCACTGCGCATGTGCGAGTAGCGCTGCACTTCATGAATGGTCCTGTAGTCTTCTAGGACCTGTTACGTGTCCCAAAAGACTACAGGGAGGGAAGGAGGGAGGACACCTTCTGTTTCCGATCGCCTAGGCAATCGGACTGGAAGTGGGAGCGGGTACCTGTCAAATTCGGGTACACGCTTCCCCCCGCCCCCCAAAGGTGCCAATCCTTAACCTCCCTGGCGGTATTCCCGAGTGTAGCTCGGGGTAAAATTTCAGCACCACAAGCAGTAACCCCGAGCTACACTCGGGAATACCCTGCAGTGCTGCTCCGGGATCTCTTCTTCACTTACCTTGTCCCTCCTGCAGTGTCCTCTGCAATGTCCTCCAGCTGATTCCGGCATCTGTCTTCTGGGTTCCGTTCCCTGCGACGTCGGGACGTACGGGGGACAGAACTGGTGGGAAATTTGAAAGTTGTAAAAGTGACATGCATTAAATTCACTAAAATCTCATAGTAAAACATTACTGTATCAAAGCATTTCACATACATTTTGTCCCGAGTGCTTTGTCCTGTGCCCTGCCTGCATTTTTACTCTTCTTTCTGCCTGGAATCTGAGAAAAGTCCATGGCGTCCAAAAAGCGTCCCTTTAGGTCAAAAGCGGTTTTAGACCAGCTAGAGAACAGCGATAGTAAATTAGAACTACTTGCAGAATTGAGTGATAATGATTCGTGGGGAAATTCGTCATCAGACACTGAAACCGATATTGCGACTTTATTCGGTGATGTGCGAACTTGGCGCTCTATTTCAGTTATTTTGGTTTGATTATATTATTTAATTAAATGTATTATTATTATATTATTATTTTTTATGATTATTTATTAAATTATAATTTATGATTTTCGTGTTTCAAATTTTAACATACCCGGGATTTTTACTAGACTCTTGTTTGGACAGATTTCAGCAAGTTATTCCTAAAAATGACAGGCCTACAATAAAAAAAATACATATTTCCATGCAAAAAAATGTACCGCTTTTGAGCACAGAAATATGGACATAATCAGACCGCTAGGACGGAGGTTATTGGAGAGCGGGGAAAGCAGTCCTTAAAGCGGAACTTCCCCTTTTGGGTGGAGCTCCGCTTTAAAAGTATGTTTATTGAATGTTAAAAATAAGTATTGTACTCACAAATAGTCAATAAATAAAAGGCACATCATGAAGGAACAGCTCTGTCCAATTCGCACTGCGTGTCTGTCTGTAAAGAGAATTCTGGATATCCAAGGCCAGAGCCCAGGGCTCTGAGGAAGAGGCTAGTCCTCGAAATGCGTCAGCCTTTTGGATGCCCTTTTATTTATTGACTATTGGTGAGTACAATACCTATTTTTAACATTCAATAAACATACTTTTAAGGTAATGCACTAGGCCTGTGCACGCTCTATTTGTTTCTCTCTATTCAATATAATATTATTATGTAGGAAAAAGAAAATTGTTTAATGCGCCTTCTAAAGGTACAGAGATGTGAAGAAAAAATACATGTTCTTTTTACTAAAGGGGAGAAGCCGTTATACTTTGGAGCCAAGACCCTATGGGCACAGACTTTTGTATTTTAAGTTTTAAACTAGCTGAGTGTTCCCTCTATACTGCACATCTGCAAGAGTTAAATGGCTTTATGGGGAAACCACATTGTATGTTGAAGCCGTATTGGGAATCACAAGCTGAACAGCCCTGTAGGATACATTTCATAAAGAATTACATTGCTGCCCAGAGAAGAGAACATCCATCCCATGTCAATTTTCCTATTTCAAGTACAGTAAACACCTTTTCCTCAATACAAAAATCTCTACTAAATATAACATTTTTATTTAGTAAAACTGGACAGTGCACAATCTGGTGCAACTCTGCAAAGAAACCAATCAGCTTCCAGATTTTTTTTTGCCATAGCTTAATTGAGCAAGCTGAAGTTTCCCTAGGTTCACACCTAAGCGTATTCCGCAGCGTTTTGCAGAAACGCAGTACAGTCCATTTAACATGATTTCCTATGGGACACGTTCACATCTCTGCGTTTTCACAAGGTGCGTTTTTAGGAAAGGACTTGTTTGAACGCAAAAAGTTTCAGTTTCAATGTAAATGCTGCAGAAAAGCATATAGTGCGTTTTTGCTGTATTTTTGCCGCATTTTTGATGCCTTTTGCATTTTAAATCTGCCTAGCAACAAGAAAAAAAATGCAAAACACATTTGGCAAAAATGCATGCAGAAAATGCAATGCAGAAACAGCTCAAACGCAACCTGCATAGGTGGGAACCTAGCTGTAGAAGCTACCATGCGCAGTTGCACCAGATTCTGAGTGCTCCAGTATTAGTAAATCTCCTCCATACCGTGTAATACAATGAAAAAAATGCAAAACGCATAAAAAAATGCGGCAAAAACGCAGGTGCAAAATGCAACACAAAACGCAATGCAGAAACAGTTCAAACGCAACCTGCATAGGTGGGAACCTAGCTGTAGAAGCTACCATGCACAGCTGCACCAGATTCTGAGTGCTCCAGTTTTAGTAAATCTCCCTCATAACGTATAATACAATGAAAAAATGCAAAACGCGGCAAAAATGCAGGTACAAAATGCAATGTAGAAACAGCTCAAACGCAACCTGCACAGGTGGGAACCTAGCCGTAGAAGCTACCATGCACAGCTGCACCAGATTCTGAGTGCTCCAGTTTTAGGAAATCTCCCCCATACTGTATAATACAATGAAAACGTATAATGTACTTTTTTTGAGACCGCAAACAATATAATACAATATATCCCAGAAGCATGTGACATGACATAAAAGGCACGGTCACATTGTTAAAAAATAAGCTCCCAGGAACAGGGCCCTCCTATCCCTCTTGTATTGAACTGTATTGCTGATGTATTGTCTCCCTTTATATTGTAAAGTGCTGAGCAAACTGTTGGCGCTATATAAATCCTGTATAATAATAATAATATTTGAAACCTCTTGACCTATTACCAGTATAAATTCATATGCAAATAAACTAAATAAGCCAGTAACTTAGTAACTGTGAAGCTCACTGTGAGTCTTGTGCTAGTTTTGACCAGGGTCACAACGAATCCTCATAAGCTGGCTTTTTTTTTGTTTGTTCAGCCCAAAAGAAATCTAACAGGTTGCTCCATCTTGCTAAACAGCGTGGATGGACAAATCTTACATTGTGGCTATTGTATTTTAAAAGCCAGTGCTGGTGGCTGTCAGAATACCCAAGCAGCAGCTGCATCTGGTTGGATGCAGTCACTGTTTGCTTGATCACAAGGTACAGGGCATTATGAACAATACTGAATAATATTATGCCACCTTAAAAGTCCCTAATCTAGACTCACTAACCTGTTTCTCCTTTCCGGATGATGAGCGTGTGGTGGAAACGCGTTGGGAAGAGTCTAGGTTTGTGATGTCATCTTGCTTTTTGTATACTGCAATAATGTTTTATGCTTTTAAAATTTTCTGCACTATGAGTTTGTCCTTTTTTCTGTCTTTACCTCCTATGCCATATGAATGGAGCCATAGCAAACATGAGTAGCTGTTGGAACTATTGTGGCTGGGTCACCACAAGGCGCATTTGATCTCTATCTCTTAGATTGTAAGCTCCAAGGAGCAGGGCCCTCCTAACCCTCTTGTATTGTTGCTGTATTGTCTGCCGTTTATATTGTAAAGTGCTGAGCAAACTGTTGGCGCTATATAAATCCTGTATAATAATGTTAATGTGTTGTGGTTTTCCCGTCTGTCTGGAGCAGGGGCAGACTGACCATTTAACCACTCGGGCACTGCCCGAGGGCCCGGGGTCAGTCGGGAGCCCCATGAGATGCCCCTGGTACCTTTCATAGGCTTTTCTGGGTGTGGTTTGAGTGTGGGCGAGAACACAAGGGCCCCATGATTTCCTATTGCCCGGGGGCCCCATGAGTTCTCAGTCCGTCCCTGGTCTGGAGCCATATCAAACCTGAAATGCTGTTGAGGAAATTGTCGCTCATTTCTAACAAATATATTCCATTAACCCCTTGGCGCCGGCGCCTCCCGGCCCTTTAAGGGTTTCAGAAGCCTGGAGGCGGGGCGGGGTTTAGGGTCATGTGACCGCCGTGACACGCTGTCACGGTGGTCACGGACCTTTCCGTGAGTACTAGACATGTGTGCTGGGAGCGCGCAGGGCGCGCACTCTCAGCACATATGTTCTTTTTTAATAGAACGCAAATGTGCGGCCACTCGGCGTCTAGGCCCAGACACCAGGAGGCCACAAATTTGCTTTCGGCCGGCGTGAAGCGGTTAAGCATGACATTGTGGCAGAGTGGCCTAGTGGCTTGCACTTATGATTTGCGGCACTTATGCATTTGTTAAAAAAAAAGCTGTCTAAATTGTCCCTAGTATGTGTGTACAAATTGTCCTTCATGTCAGTCCCGAGCCCGATCAGGAATGGCTGAAGAAAGACATGGTAACCTTCCTATGAACAAAATCTTTCAAGAGTATCTGATATGGTGCCCAGAGAACTGGTCCATAGAATTGGTGAGAGTTGGATATGACTGAACGGAGATAGACTATACACACCAAACGTTGACAGTACTTTTTTCCTTTTCTAAGTCATCCTTTTAGACAATATAAGCCGCTAGCCTGAGAATGATACATTTGCACTTTTATGAGACATGTAAACATGAGAGGTGTAGACAGGAGAGGGACTGCGTGCAGCCGGGGGTCTGTGCTGTGGGAAGGGGGGTGTGGATGGCGTCTTTCTACACAAGAGCTGAGGTGAAATAATGGTGAGCGAGGAAGTCACACTCAGGGCGGGTGCTCGGCACACAGTGTTCAGTCCAGAGGGGAAATAGTTTTGGCAGGAGCTGGGTTACTGGCTCCCTGCCTCTTTCTGCTAATAAACACTCAGCCCAGGCAGACAAAGGTCCATTCCTCGGGATTAAAGGTGTGAGTGAGTATTAGAGGCGGGATGGAGAGGCATGGGCTATGATGCTTTATCCTGTGTATAGGAGCCTGTGCTCCACAGCCTAATTCAAGTCGTGAGCTTTATACATGGGCCATCTCACTGAAAACACTTTGCTGGTGTTAGCGTTTGTTCATGCCTCAGGGTTTTGACTAGCTGTGATTAAAATTAACCCATGTTTTGCTTAGACAAGCTAAAGGAATAAGGGGGCATACTCTGTGTCTGAGCCAGCTAGATTGAATTTGGAGGTTACACAGGGCTGAGAACTCTCTCCCAACCCCATGTAATGGTGCTGGCAAATGAAGAGCCAATTGTGAGTCACCAGTGTATCACATAGATGGAAAGGGGATAGAGTCATATGCAAACCTAACCGAGAAGTACGGGGTATGTAACATTCTCTGCAGGGGTGGACTGACAACTCATGGGGCCTCCGGGCAATAGGGGATCATGGGGCCCCTGTGCCCTTGCCCAAACTCAAAGAAGCCTATGAAAAAGGTACCAGGGGCATCTCATGGGGCCCCCTACTGATCCCGGGCCCTCGGGCAACGCCCGAGTTTCCAAATGGTCAGTTCGCCCCTGATTCTCTGTGATAAGCAAACAATGAGCATCAATAGATGGACCTGTTTGCTTCGTCCCTTCCCCAAAAAAGGGAATCCCAATGTCTCTGAAGTGTTGGACATTACCCTTGCTAAACTTGATTGAATCTTGGCCTTCTCTACATATTTGCTTTGATGGGCCTCCAGCGGCCACAGATCTCTCTTATTCACTGGCTTAAGATAGAACTAAAGCCAATTTTTTCCATTTTGGTTAAAAAATGTATCCCATTGGGGAAATTTCCTTTCATTTCCTGCCCCATAGCCACACCAGGAAGTGCAAAGGAATGCCTCCAAAGTGAGGGATTCTTTGGTTGTCACCAGGGTCACCAGAGCTAGTGTCCCCATTAGAAGATTTCCTGTTTTCCACTTCTGGGGGCAACTCAAAATTTGGGATTTTCTTTCACTTTCACTCTTGTTGATAACAGGTTGATAACCTGGCAGATGTTCCAAACCCTCTCCACTCTATTCAAAACAAAAAAAGAGTTTTGCCTTCAGTAATACTTTAAGGCAGGCCATAGTAGACGGGCCGTTTATCGGCTGAATTTTCAGCCGATAAATGAAAAATTGGTCGGCCCTGTTGCTGATGCTGCCACCCATGTCCACGAAAAAATGTCCGTTTTTTGCAGATTTTCCAGCATGACCGATAAAAATAAATGAGAAGATCCGCGAAAAACGCCGATGGGCTGGCCCCACTAACGACGTGATTATCAGCCGATTTTTCGTGCCGATAAATGATCCGTCTATGGCCTGCATAAGGTTTGTATGCAAGATAGTTACATATATACCCTTATTAGCCCATTCATGTGGCTTTAAAATCTGGATTCCCATTAGAGTCTACTGGTTACCCTCTGGCCACCCAAAACAGGGAACCATGCTCTCTCTATGCAAACTCTAAGATACCTGGTGTACTGTTTGCAGTATGGGACCTAAAGGAAATGAGTGCTGAAGCAACAGACATATGGGTGGTCATATTGGATTGACAGAGGAGTTCCCCATGTGGTTCTGAAACATAGCACATATCTATTATGACAAAATGAAAAGGTTTCTGAAGCATACTAGAGTACTGGTGATATATATGCTCTTTATGAAAGCAAGCTTCATCTTTGGGAATGGAGGTTGGCTGCTTTTCTGCATAAAAAAAACTAGTATGTGAATCTTTGGACCACTTTTTACCAGTACAATAATACTGCCAGGCAAATCCAAACTTCTGCTGGCATAGTGAATAACGTGGTCCGCTCATTGCATCTACTGTATCTAATACAAACAGAGATGGATTAAGGCAGAATGGGACCCTAGCAGCTGTGAACTGCACCATCCCTTAAATTGTCATTGATAAGAATTGCAGTGGGCACAGAGAAGTCACATTTGCATTGCTTATACAGTACATGTTCCATCTGATGTAACTGCCTATAAGTCCATTCACCCTTGTGAAGTGACAACTGCACTATGCCTCTAGTTTACTGTTGGAGCATGAACATTGCAGCAAGACACTCTGGACGCCCACCAAGCACTAGGTTCTTGCCTAGATTGCCTTGTGAATGACCCACCTCTATGTACACTACACATAAATTCAGATCTGAGCTGTCAGTATGCCAGACAAACTTGAACCCATATAGTACATATCCCTGTTCCTGTTGACGCCCACACCTTTGAAACCTCATTTAGATCAAGAGCCCACACCAATGCCCGATGACGATAGAACTACAGTCCCTCATTTTAGAAATCATTTATCACGAAACGGATTAGGCCACAGTGCTATACACAGTAGGTATTATATAATATATATGGCACCCTTTCACAATAAATATTTTATGTATATAAACTATGGGGCAATACACAGGTGTGGGATAGAAATCAGCTGTGACTTAATTGCATCACCACTGGACAGGACGAGAAAAGTGAGAACCAAAATTGTGGCAAAATCATTGTTTATCTCATTACAATCAAGAAGGCATCTGAGCTAAGTGTGTGGGATATTATTAGGCAGCCCCAAAAGTGAACATGTCCCTGAAGTGTGATGTGTTGAAAGCAGAAAAAATGGGCAAGCATAAGGCTGAATCAGAGCATCTCCAAAACTTCAGCTCCTGTAGGATGTTCTTGGTCTGCAGTGGGTGGTCAGAACCTTCCAAAAGTGGTCCAAGGAAGGAAAACTGGCAAACAGGGTCATGGACAGCCAAGGTTTATTGATGCATGTGGGAAACATGCATCAATGCTGGCCCATATAGTCCAATCCATTAGAAGAGCTACTTTAGCTCAAAGTGCTGAAAAGGTTAATTCTGGTGCCGATAGAAAGGTGTTAGAACATACAGTACATAGCAGTTTGTTGCGTATGGGGCTGTGTAGTCGCAGACTGGTCAGAGTGCCCATGCAGACCCGTGTCCACAGCCAAAAGCACCTACAATGGGCACATGAGCATCAAAATTGCTCCACAGAGCAACGGAAGGTGGCCTGGTCTGATGAATTCAAGAATGGTTTGAGGTGTTGAATTGGTGGAATGTACTGGAAAAATAAATCCGATCCATGAAGGCCCCATCTCACAACTTACAGGACTTAAAGGATCTGCAACCGATGGCTTGGTGCCAGATTCCACAGCATACCTACAGAGGTTTAGTGGTGTCCATGCCTCAGTGAGTTATGGTGGGTGGTCGTAAAGTTATGGCTGATCAGAGTGTGTGTATATATACTATATTATAACATTTTTCTTAGCAATACAGTTGCCTCTGTATATCAGCCAGTAGCCTGGTGGAGATTACAACAATCAGTTCTTTTCTTGTGATGTGCTGTAAATCTCATGTGACACATATTAAACTGTTATCTATATTGTTCTGTAAGTTCAATGTACCATAAACATCTGTTTTAATTCAGAGGCCCTATAACAGTGCAGTGAAAGTTATCTCCTGAGTGCAGGAGAGCTACGCAGTACACTTGTTAAACTTTTTTTTACACAATCCAGAGTGACATAGAATAGTGACACAGAATATCACCTATAAATCAGCACAATTGAAAGCCCATAGTGTTTCAGTGAGCTTTGTTTGGTTCTAGCAGTGTGATGCTTTTCTTAAAGTCACTTTTTATTTGTGTGTATGTTTGTACATGCTTGCTGTACCATATTTCCTTTTTTTGTATGACAAACATAGATTTGTAAGTCTACCCTTTTTTGGTTGCATTTACCTACAATCAAAAAATACCTTAACAACTCTGCACTATGGTGTAAATGTGACTGGCTAACATAAATATATCAATAAAACATGAGCAGCCACCACAATATTGCAGGCAACAATACATACAATAGTAAAACATAAAGGTGCGGCGCTTCATATAACCAAAAAGTTTATGGAAAATAAGTGAAATAAATTGAAAGTCCAATTCGCATGTAGTGGAAATATGATAATAAAATAAGCCCCTCTTTACTGGGACACCAATGCTGTCATGTCATGCTGTCATGCTGGTCAGGAAGATGAAGAAAATCCACCATCAATAACACACAAAACATTCTGCCTCTTACCAGACCAAATTGACCCCCAGTTATGGACGGGTCAAAATGCGCAATGCAAATTCCAAAAGCATGCCATGGACCTGGACACTTTATGGCTCCAAAAGGATCAAATTGTCCCCCAGCGGTAGATGGATAAACACCCACTGAACTCATTCCAAAAGCAAATCTTTTTAGATTTGTAGCTTTTAATGAAATAGTTTTTGGTGATCCTGCCATAAAGATACTTGTTCTGGCACTTCCAGCTTTAGAGTGACAAGACTGTCGCTGTCTCCTAATTGTGCTCCTGCGTTGTCACCTTGCCACACAACCTTCCCATAGAGACCACAAGTGACCATTTCAACACATAATATGCAGGCATGGTCCACTGTTACCAGTAGAGATGAGCTTGGGTGTCCCCTGAACTCATCTCTATTTAAATTTCGAAGTCAAACTTGAAGGTGAAAATAGCATTCTACGGAGATAAGGCAATTGTTGATATGATACACATTGCTTTCAATATCCAGCTAGGCTTTACATCTTCTTTAAGTGGAATAGTAACACATAACCACAATGCAGCAGCACAGTGGCTAAATGGTTAGCAGTTCTGATTGGCAGTACTAGGGTCGTTGGTTCAAATCCCAACCACAGCACCACCTGCCTGCAGTTTGCTTGTTCTCTTTGTGGGTTTCTGCCAGGTACTCTGGTTTCCTCCCACACTCCAAAGACATGCTGGTAGGTTAATTGGATCCTGTCTAAATTGGCACTAGTATGTGTATGTATAAAGATAAAGCGAGCGCTCAAAAATAAGCTGCTGGAACACTCCAAGGAATCACTGGACCTTATAACAAGAATAATATATATATAGTGCAGCGCTGTAATACTAATATAAAATATATGTAAATAAAAGTTCATATAGTCCTTTACACAATAAAGGTGATCATGAACAAAGAACATGTGAAGGTCTCTTCATCATTAGATGACTGGAATCAAATAGAAAAAATGCGCACTCACCGACCGCGCATTTTAAATGCGCATGTATGCAATATTATCCAGATGATCGGTCAGGCATGCAGATCAGCAAAACACATTGGTCATCCCTCTCAAGTAACGACATCAGCCTTGGGTGCAGTGATATACCTCCAGGTCCAGAGAGCCCTCTTGCCCCAAGTGATAAGGTAGATTGAGATCCCTCTCCTGGTTACAGGTACCCCAAGAATTGGCTGCTGCAAATCTGGAACCCTCCAACAAGAGGGTCAAGAAAGGGAATGCCAATAGTGTAGTATGTTCAAAACTTTTATTGGGTCAATAGTAATACTAGCCAGGGTCACATGTATATAACAAATACCGTCAGCGATCAGGCGGACTGGTAAGTGAGGAAAATGAATAAATAAATAATACATGCACTAACCCGGCAAAGGTAAAAATGGGAGACCACCGGACCTCCTCGTGGTCCCAGTGGTCAGGAAGTCACACTTGCTACTGGCTCCTCCTCTAGGAGGAGTGGTGGTCTCCCATTTTTACCTTTGCCGGGTTAGTGCATGTATTATTTATTTATTCATTTTCCTCACTT